GTGTAGGGGCCTTGGGCAGGCTCATTTTCACTGCCAGTTAAAGAATTAAAAGGCAATTGTTGTATATTGTATCCTGATCAGGTCTTGAACTTGTTGAACCAGTCCATCAGCTAGAGGCCTACTGTGCCAGTAAAAAGTCAACCATTTTGGAAATTTACTACCTTTATTACCATGGCCCCTCTCCCTATCTGTCTGCCTACCTACCAGGAGTCTGTCTAACTCCTAGTCTCTCAATACCTTAATTTGAAATTTGAAACTCTGAGATTGGTAGAAGAAAACACTTCAAGATATAGGTGTCACTGTAGTTTTTTTTTTTTTTTTTTTTTTTTTTCCTGCCAGGTCTCACAGATGCTTTGCCGCAAATAAACACACATACGCCATATTAATTATAAAACTGTTTGGACGATGGCTTGGGCTTCTCACTGGCTAGCTCTGTCTTAATTATTAATCCATAACTACTAATCTAAGTATTTATACATGGCCTTATCTTACCAGGGAACGACTGGCATGTCTTATATTCCTGGTCTCTATATGGTGTCTCTTCCTGGTGGCCTCTCCCTGCCTCTCTCCCCAAAGAGAGGCATTCTCCTCCAAAGCTACACAGAGAAATCCTGTCTGGAAAGATCAAAAACCAAAAAGCAAAGAAGAAATTGCTTGAGTTGTATAAAATACATTCAGAGGAGCTGGAAAGGCAGCCAGCCAACTCAATGGCTACGAACATTTGTTCTAGGGTCCAGGTTGAATTCCCAGTACTGTTATAGTGTTGTTACGATGAACCACTCCATTTCCTGGGGATCCAATGCCTTCTTCTGACCTTTGTAGGCACCAGGCATGTAAGTGGTACATATACATATATGGAGACAAAACACTCACACATAAAATTTTAAAAATGTAATAAAAAAAATTGCCAAGCGTTGGTGGTGCACACCTTTAATCCCAGCACTCTGGAGGCAGAGGCAGGTGGATCTCTGTGAGTTCCAGGCCAGCCTGGTCTACAGAGCTAGTTCCATGACAGGTTCCAAAAAAAAAAAAAAAAATAAATAAACAATACAGAGAAACCCTGTGTCAAAAAACAAAACAAAAATAAATAAATAATTAAAAATACAGATAAAAGTAAGAAAGTATATTGTTGTTATTTTGATTTTATTATTTTGATATAGTATTTTTCTAAATAGCTCAGGCTGGTTTCAAACTCACAATCCTCCTGCTTCCAATTCCAAAATGCTGGGGTTGCAGCTATGGACCACCATTCATTTTTAGTGGAGCTTACCTCTTACTTCCAAGTACTAGGATTTCCTTTGTGTGCTACCAGACCCAAAATAAAGCACTTTTTTGTGTTGTTTTGTTTTGAGACAGGCTTTCTCGGTCCTGGCGCGTTCTCTGTTAACTAGCCTAACCTCAAACTCAAAGGTCTGCCTACCTGTCTCTCTGGGATTAAGGCATATGCCACCATCAGCAGGCCTTTTTCCTTTTTTTTTTTCTTTCTTTCGTTCTTTTTGTCTTGTTTTTTGGGGTTTGGTTTTGTTTTGTTTTGTTTTTCGAAACAGGGTTTCACTGTAGCTTTGGGAGGCTGTCCTGGCACTCTCTCTGTAGACAAGGCTGGACTTAAACTCACAGAAATCCACCTGCCTCTGCCTCCTGAGTGCTGGGATTAAAGGCGTGCATCACCAACACCACCACCACCACCCAGTGCAGGCCTTTTTTTTTTCTTTTTAAATCAAGGACAAAACATTCATGCCTGTGTGCAGTGTTTCTGTTTAACATTGTCCTAGAACTTGTAGCCATAGCAGTGTGGCATAAAAAGAGGAGACAAAGGACTAGAAAAATAAAGGCAAGTCTGACATTATTTTACATGAAACAAAAGGAAATCCAAAAGGATAATATATCAATCAGTTTTTCTAAATGAACAGACCTGCTTCAAATAATCTAACCAAGAAAACCTCCTCAGCAGGGTGGTCTACAAGAGCTAGTTCCAGGACAGCCTCCAGAGCCACAGAGAAACCCTGCCTCTAAAAACCAAAAAAAAAAAAAAAAAAAAAAAAAAGAAAGAAAAAAAGAAAAAGAAAAAAGACAAATTCCTCACAAAAGTATCCAATAGTATGGATTTTAGTTAATCCCAGATGCAGTCTGATCTACATAGCAAGTTCCTGGACAGCCAAGGCTGCTTAAAGAGATCCTGTCTCAAGTCAGTGTGGTAGTTGTTATGATTTTGCTCATGAATGACCTTGTTGAGTGCAAACCATGGCAGGTTGAGGGGCAAACTTGCCATGCAGACAGAGCTTAGATGGGAGGGGAGAATAAGAGAGTGTAAAGCAGCCTCATGGGAAGGGAAAGATTTGTATGTTGTTAAGTGTGTAAGTGTGCACATCATATGGTGCCCATAGAAGCCAGAAGAGGATGTCAGATCCTCTGTAAGTGAAGTTACAGATAACAGATTGGTTGTGAGCTGCCATGTGGGTGCTGAGAACAGAACCCTGACCCTATGCTAGAACAGCCAGTTCTTTAAGCCAACTCTTAACCTTTGAGTAATCTTTCCAGATATATTAAAGTATTTTTTTTTTTAAGTAGAATTGCCTCAAACTTACTATGTAGTTGAGGACAACCTTGAACTCTTGCCTCTACCTCTGAAATAATGAGATTATATGCATGTTCCACTCTGTTCATTTATGTGATGTCTGTAGGTGTACCTGTTCATGTGTGCATGGTGTATGCACGTGTATATTGAGGTAAAATGTCAATGTCAGATATTTGCCTCAATTGCTCACCACCTTATTTTACTTATGTAAAAAATAATAGCTGGGAGGTGGTAGTGTACACCTTTAATCCCAGCACTTCATGGTGTTTGTTGAAACTTCTAGACATTTATATGGAAATAACACAAAAAACAATGTGGGCACAGTGTGTTGTGGTTTGAGTGTATGTATCTCCAAAATTTTTGTATTAAATCCTGACTACCCAGGTGATGGTGGTATGAGGAGAACCTGTAGTTAGCTGTGATATAATATGGGTCTGCTCTCATGAAGTCAATACCTCAGGGCTGGAATAGAATTCAGTCCCACAAAACAAGAAAGAAAGAGGCTCCAGAGCACTGCCTGTTTTTTCTGCTTTTTCTACCACGTGAGGAGACAGCATGGTAGACCAGGCTCTCAGTAGACATAGAATCTTCTAGTGCTGTGATCTTAGGGCTTTCTATCCTCCAGAGTAATGAGCAATATATTTTCTGTGACTTGTAAATTACTCAATTAGGTATTCTGTCTCAGCAGCTGGGATTGAAGGACACAGACCCCATATTCTTTTTAAAAAGTATTTATTTTATTGGCATTGGTATAGCAGGTACCGAAGCCCCTGAAACTAGGGCTACTGACAGTTGTTAGCGCTATGTGGGTGCTGGGAGTTGAACCTGGGTCCTATGTAAGAACAGCCAGTGCTCTTTCCAGAGCCATCTCTACAGCCTGGCCCCACATTCTTTATGAACATTATGTCTAATAAATCAATTGAACACAACAATGGGGCCTGTGAGAAACAGAGAGCAGCAAACGCTTTCTGGCAGAATGAAGAAAGGACCACCCCATCATTAAGCTGAAGAAGACCTGTTCTGTCATTGTAGGGTTCAGGTCCCTGAAAGAGGCTGGGTGTCAAGTTACATTCTTCCCCCAAAGTCTTCCTGGGTTTTGTATTTGTTAGGGTTTCCTTTTCTTCCTTCCTTTCTTCCTTCCTTTCTTTCCCCCCTTCCTTTCTTTTTTGAGATAGGGTTTCTGTGTAGCCCTCACTCTGTAGACCAGGCTAGCCTCGAACTCAGAGATCCACCTGCTTCTGCCTCTCGAGTGCTGGGAGTCCTGTCATATCCGAGAAGGGGGGCAGGCTGTGGGCGAAAAGAGGTAGAGGAGAGGCTAAAAAAGAAGCATGAGGAGTGAGGGCTGGAACTGAGAAACAGGTGGGCAGCAGTCCCAGGGCAAGCAAGGTGGGTGCTCATGAGGGCCTCAAAGCATGAGGCCTCTCCTTTCACCACCTAGAGCACTCCATGCTTTTCTTTTCTCTAAACAAAGGTATTCATTTCAAAGACAGCAAGGGAATGGCTCAATTAAAGCAGGGAACTAGTCATCAAAGAGAGACAGAGGGAAGAGTGCAGACACTGGGGCTGATATGTCCAGAGCCTGGGAAAAGGTGAAATAGTCTCTCCTTACCAAGGCCCTGAACTCTCTTCCAGGAGTCCTGGGATGCTTCTTCAAACAGGACCCTCTTTCTCAGAGCTACACCCAGCAGACAGGTCAGCTAAACACCTAGCCACGGGACACAGGCCTCATCGGGTGCCAGGAGCTTCACTGCCCGCTCCCACCCAGACCCCGCCCCCAGCTTCCCGCGCCGACTCTCGCCCCCCCCACGCCGCTCCCTCCCGCACCCAGCCCCTCGCCTTCTCCCGCGCGCGTGCGCCCCGTTCCCGCACACCTCCCCTGCCGCCGCTACGGCGCGCGCGCGTGCCTGGCGTCCCAGGCAGAAGCTGGAGACCAGCGACCCGCTGCGGGCCAGGCTCTGAGAGGGCGCCTTGAGCGAGCTCGAGAAGCCGGACCCTGCGAAGCAGCAGTTGGCGCGGGCCTGGCCGCCCCTCTGTCGGCGGGCCGGGCCGCGGCGCCTAGCGTGGAGGCTGGGCTCCGGGGCTGAAGGCCATGGGCGGGAGCCGGGGAAGGCAGCGGCAACGGCAGCGGCAGCGGCGGGCCCCGCGGGCGGGGAGGCGCGTGGCCCACGGCCCCTGACGGCCCCAGCGGCCAGGCGTGCTCCCGCGCCTCCTGGGGTGGTGCGGTAGCCAGGCAACGCCCGGCGCTCCCGCCCATCCCCCGCTGCCCTTTTTTCCCTGCCTGGGTGCGAGGGAGCATGCCTGTGTCTGGCTTCGGCCAGCAAAGAGTTAAGTCGAGGGGCGTGGAGCTGCCTTCCTCTTGGGGGCGTGCCCCCCTCCCCCGCTAGGCGGCTCGGCCCCCCGCGGTAGGGTATGGCCCAGGGCCCGGGTCCGGACCCCAAGGTCCCACGCACCGGCCAGTGAAAGACGCCTTCCTCTTCCCGCCCTCTTCTTTCCCTCGCCGGCCAGCACCATGGGATGTAATATGTGCGTGGTCCAGAAACCGGAGGAGCAGTACAAAGTGATGCTTCAGGTAGGGCGCCTGCGCTGCTGGGGCAAGGGGCGCAGCCGGGCCAAGGAAAACTGTAAACCTCAGGGGAGGGCCACGTGGAGGTGGAGAAGCAGGTGTGGGGAGGGAGAGAGCGCTCAGAGAGGAAAAGGTAGGAAGACGATCTCAACCTCATATGATGCTTGATGGCTGGTGATGCCCTGTAGGAAACCATCTACGGATGGAATGAACGGGATGGAGATAGGTGTTTGAGACACATCACCAGGCACCCTACCCAAATGCATAGGGGCCACGAACCGAATGTCCAGATCAGCCCAGGTGGGAAGTTAGGTAATTCTGTCTCTGAACTGAGAGGCGCTCTATGGCCCCTGCACGATGGACGTTGCGTAGCAACCGGCTTGGTTCCCAGCGCACTCGCTCCCCTGGTTGAACCCAGAACCAAAGAAGCTGTAGAGTTCCCGCGGGCCAGAGGGCAAATCGTGTCCTGGCAGGCCAGACTCAATAAATAGACAACCAAGCTGGGTTTGGATACCCATTCTCGCACCCAACTCTCTGGTCTGACCCAGTCATGACTCCCAGGCCTCAGGCATCTTGGGTGAGTGGGTAACACTGGGATCGGTGATGCCCAGTATGCGCTCTGCCTGTTAGCATCCGCTTTGGCTTGCTGGGCCTTGGGGACAAGAAGGGCAATGCTAGAGACACGTGCGGGCGGGAGGAGAAACCCTGACGCATCCCCACTCCTTGAGCTCAGCCACGAGTGGGGTTTCCTTGCCTGTGCGTGTCGTAACTACGTGAGTGCGTGCCTGTGCCCTGTCTGTGTGTGCGGAGGCTCTCCATCCCCGCCCGTGTGTACTTTTTGTGTGCACTCTGAGAGTTGTTTAGAGAAATGTGTCCCAGATGATGTTCACTGAGATGCACAAGGGCTAACTAAGTGTAGAGAGGAAGAGATCAAAGGGAGTTAGGAGCAGGAGCAGATGTGGGCGCAGACAGGTGAGTTTAGTGACTTGTGCCTCGACTAAACAAGTGCGCGCAGAAGGTGTTGATTCTGAGAGAACCTGTAGACTCCTTGACGAAAAAAAGAAATTCCTTTCAGGAACTCGACGGGAGTAGCAGTAGAGATGGTGTCAACCATAATAGTGGGGTGGTATTGAGGTGGCTTCAGTAACTCATCATTCTTGCTGTGATCTTATTTTCATTACTAGCAGGACTAGGAAATAATGGGCAAGAGATGGTAGGCAAGGGATGGTCATGTTCCAATCTGTTGGGGCTTCTGATCTCTTCTACTTGGCTCTGGATTCCTTTTTTCTGTCCTCCCGCCGTTTCGCTGTTGTTTCTCCTGTCTAGTTCCCACTGTTTGGAGCCCTCACCTTCACCTGTTCGTTGCCAACCTTCTAGTGGTATTCATCTGGAATGACCTAGCTTGGAACCTACGAAAGGGGTTCAGTAAAACCCATTGGATTTCAGAACTAGGGCTACCTCTATTGGGGTTTCAAAGGGCTTGAAGGATGAGGTGACCCTAGGCGGGAGAATCCCTGCTGGACTTCTTAAAAAGAGAGCTCCCACCTTACAGAAAGGACTTGCTTTCAGCTAGGTGCCTGGTTAGAAGGGAGGCCATGTCAAGCAGCATTCATCCTCTGTGCTCAGCTTCCATGGGATGCTACTTCTTTAAAATTCGGACACCAATTTTCATTTTCTTGGTTCTCCTTGGCAGACCAGATGGTTTTCAAAGGCAGAGCTATCCTTTCAAATTAAGTAAAAACAAAAGGAAGGAATGTAGAAACTTTGGAAAGCGGTGAAAGCTATTCCTTAGCCCAGGTGAGGAGCTTGTGAGAAAGGGATATTCATTCATAGGCCTCAGGAGAGTTTCCTTAAACATGTGCACTTCCCCATATTGAGTGCCCTTCTTCCTTCCTTTCTTCTTCTTCTTTTTTTTTTTTTTTTTTTTTTTTTTTGTTTTCTTTCTTGTGTTTTTCTAGATAGGGTTTCTCTGTAGCTTTGGAGCTCTGTAGACCAGGCTTGCCTCAAAGTCACAGAGATCCGCTTGCCAATGCCTCCCCAAGTGCTGGGATCAAAGGTGTACACCACTACTGCCCAGCTTCCCTTCCCTCCCTGTCTCTTTCAAAGTGACTTCATTCTTATCAACTGATGGTCTCTGAAACTTGCTGGTAGAGCCTTTCTCACCATGACACACTAGAACTTAAAATAAAACCATAGCTTTATTAACATCAAACTTACAATACAATATCTTTTCAAAGAGTACAATTTGGTGCTTTTGACTATTGTGGATAATGCTACAATGAATACTGGTATACAAATGTTTGAATCCCTGCTTTCAATTCTCTTGAGTAGTACTTAAAAACAGAGTTGCTGGATCACACAATAATTCCACCCATTTCTTCCAATGGTACTATTTAACACTAACACCAGAATTGTATAAGAGTTCCAATTTCTCCACATGCTTATCAACACTTATAGCTAGCTTATGATATAAACTGGCATCTTTTTGTGGGTTTTTTGTTTGCTCACATGTAGTGCTGGAGATGGAAGCCAAAGACTTAGAGGAACTAGGCAAGAGCTTTCATTGTGTAGTTCATGATTTGCATATCTGTTTGCTAAATGCTGTAGAGCTTTTTTTTTCTTGTGCTTATTGTCCATTTATATATCCACTTTGCAGAAGAGTCAATCCATTATGATGGAGCATTGTAAGAAGTATTGAAGTTAGGAAGTAGTTGGTCCTCCAGCTTTTATCTTTTTAAAAATTGTTTTGTCTCTATTGGGTCCCTTGTTTCCTTGTGAATTTTTCGGTCAGCTTGTTTTCTGAAAATTAACTGGGATTTTGATTGGGTGGAATTGAATCCATAGCTCAGATGGTAGAGTATTGCCTGTTTATTTGGGTCAGGTTTTTATTTCAAATATAACTTGTTTAATTTGTTAAGTTTGTGTTAGGATTTATCATCATCGTCATTTTTAATTGTGTATGGATCAGGTGGCCTGGTGCCCTCAGAGGCCACAGAGGGCATCAGAACACCTGGGACTGAAGGGACCCCTGGAATGGACATTTGTAAGCCATGTGGGTACTGGGAACTGAACCCAAGTCCTCTGCAAGAAAAGCCAGTGCTCTTAACTAATAAGCCATCTCTCCAGTCCAAGTATTTTATTGTTTTTGATGCTATTGTAAGTGGAATTTCTATTTAAAACAGCCTAACTATATTCCAGGTTAGTCTAGAATTTACTATTGTAGCACGACAGGCTTAAACTTTTGCCTCAACTTTTCAAGTACATGAGCCATTGTGTCTGGCTTGTAATTTTTCTCTAAATTTCATTTTGTCTTTCTCATTGCCAAAGTATAGAAATACGTGTCCGTTCCCCCCACCCCCAGACATGGTTTCTCTGTGTAGTTTTTGAGTCTTCTGGAACTCATTCTGTAGTAGATCAAGATGGACTCGAATTCACTGGTTTTCTTTCTTTTTTTAAAAAAATAAGTTTTTTTTTTTTTTTTTTTATGTTTTGTTGTGTGAGGACATCAAATCCCCTGGAACAGGAGTTACAGACAGCTATGAGCTGCTCTGTGAGTTCTGGGAATTGAAGAGCAGCCAGTGTTCTTAATCTCCAGCCACCTCCCACTGATTTTCACACATTAATCTTGTATTTTGCAGTCTTAACTTAATTTGTTTATTCTACACCCTTTTTAGCAGTTTCATCAGAAATTTCTTTATACTGTAATTATGTCTTGATAAATAGAAACAAATTTACTTTTTTCTTTCTTTTTTTTCTTTTTTTTTTTTCCTTTCTTTTTTCTTTTTTCTTTTTTTTTTTTTTTTTTTTTTTTTTTTTTTTGGTTTTTCAAGACAGGGTTTCTCTGTGGCTTTGGAGGCTGTCCTGGAACTAGCTCTGAAGACCAGGCTGGCCTTGAACTCACATAGATCCACTGCCTCTGCCTCCTGAGTGCTGGCATTAAAGGTTTGGGCCACCAATACCTGGCTAAAAAGGGTGAGTTCATGTTGAGGTAGAAATAGAGTCTTACTGATGCTTCTGCTTGCCACCCCCACCCTTTATCAGCAGACTCTCTTGTCATTCATGTATCTAACAAGGTCCCACATTCCACAGACCTTATCTTTGTCTTCCTTGTTATCCTAAACTTGTCATTCCTTCTATGTTGGTGCTTAGTAAATCAGCCTCCACAAAGGTACCTGCTCTCTCCACTGGAAGCCACTCATTTCTTCTAGGGAGCATTATGCCCATGTACAACATTAGAAGGGTGAGTTTAGGACAGAGCTAAGATGCTAAGATATATAACCATTCCCCACCCCCACTTAAGACACAGTTTCTCTGTGTATCCCTGGCTGCCCTGGAACTTATTCTGAAGACCAGGCTGGCCTCAAACTCACCAAGATCCACCTGGTTCTGCCTCCCAAGTACTAGGATTAAAGGCTTGCCACCACCACTGGCCAGATAGGAGTCAGTTTTTTACCATGTAGGTTCCTGGGATACAATGTAGATGCAGATCTACATTAGGTCTCCTGCTCCCTCCCTTATCCTCATGTAGCCCAGACTGGCCTTGAACTCTCTGTAGTTGAAATGATCTTGAACTCTGGATTTTCTCCTTCCCCCTTTTTGAAATAGGCTTGTCTCAAATGTGTAGATGAGATTCACACTTAAGCCTTTGGTGTCAAATAGCAAATTATTATTATTATGTGGGTCTGAGGACTGATCATGGGGCCTTGTATATGCTAGGCAAATGCCCTACCACTGAACTGCATCCCTAACTCTTTACCTCTGAGTTCTGAGGGCTGTCTGATCCATTGAAATAAATTGTGACAAACATTAGCAGTTGCAGGGATGAGCAGTGCAGTAGGGGTATCCAGATCCTCAGGTATGACACCAATCACTACTGTCTCTGTTACAATGGTTTTGTAGGTATGTAGACATAATATGCAAAACCTGTTTCACTTCACATTCCAAACACATGCAGTTATCATATGGTGATTACTCCAGTTAACTTCAAAACTTAGAACTTCATGTTT